GAGACTACCATATCATATCAGGCGAGTCAGCACCACAATATGTCGTTTGGTCTATACGGATAGTTGTAAACGGTGCTTCCCACTCCCTGATTGTGCTCTACAAACGGTACAGTGACATTGAAAAGTTCAGAACACTGCTTGTGGAGGCCTTTCCCAAGGACCTGATACCACAGCTTCCGCCAAAAGACAATTTCAGCCTCCTGCGTCTCTGGTTTTCAGACGCTTGGCTAGAGACTCGCCGGAAGGGTCTACAATGGTTCATGACCAATGTGCTACTACATCCAAAGTACCAACACAGTCCGGTGATAACGCAATTTGTACTTGAGCAGACAGCGCGGTAGTGGCTAATACTGGACACTTTTGAGTTAGTGACGTATCGCTAACCCTTGTTGTGAACGATTGTAATGTTACGGAGATAATCTCAACCGGCTAAGAGCAGTTGAGTCAAGCTGCGGTTCTGCCAGTATTGCGATCCAAGATCATGGTGCTTATTGGTTCATGAATTGTGTAAATCATGTTACCGCTATCGTGAGACATATCAGACATTGTGCCATTGACCTCTTCTACTGCCAGCCCAAAGCGAAGTCGATGAAAAGCACTACAAAGCATAATTATTGGGCAGCCGTAAAAATGCCGAGACCTTGTTCAAAAACAGTGAAAGGAAGACACACTCACGCTCATCCGGTGTGCCTTCACTAGACGAGTCATTGTGATACTGAAGAATGGGTCTGCGAAAGTCAAAGCCCCAACGGGCCACCGACTCGGCAATGCAGCGATCATCGGACGCAGGAAGATAAGCCGACGGGTGCTCAGGGTCTGAGAGCAATGGGCCATTCTGCAAGATGCCTCTACTCAGGCACCAGATTGCTTACACTGCATGGCCACGGTAGCCCTGGTAGCCAAGGCCCAAATCATATGAAAGTTTGACAAAGGCCGGGAAAAAAGAAACGAAGAGATCAAGAGACAGCGATTGTTGCGGGAAAACAATATGCTTTTCCTCTGTTTCTCGTCAAAATAGTCTATTGCAAATTCCATAGCAGCAGGGTGCTGTGGCGCCAGGGCCTGGGTCATGAGCCCTCTGACGTAAGCGAGCGATGCCCTGGACCCTCACAGGCCACAAGGTGCCAAAACGAGTCAGCAAAAAAACGAACTTCCCCTGAAAAATCGAAAAAAAGAAACGCTTTTTTTGTAGATCTCTTAAAATCAAAACGTTTTTGCTGGTCACCTCCAACAATGGCTTGGTTGTCACTTGGAGGGTGTGCCCAGAGCTGAGCTGGTGTAAGCAGATCTGGCGAGACAACGAAGTCTCTGCACCACCAGGCCCATTTGCACCCACTACCCACCAAAAATCCCATTTTTCCCTGTCGCCAAAAATTACAAATCCTTCTTTGAAATCAAAAACTTTGTCACTTTTGCTTCAGCCGTGCCCGTCCGATTTTCGGCCCATCCCTAGCAACTACCTTTAGGGTGAGCCGAGTCGGTTGAGCTGGCCCATGCGCGTTAGTAACAGAATGGCCGGTGCGATTTGTCAATGCAGCCGCGGCTAGACACCCAGGCCATTTGTATATAAAGGCCGCCGTTTTCCACACATGGGTCTCACGTCCAACATTAGAATCTTTAGAAGAATGGTCCACCACAAGGTTACTATCATCGGCTCCGGCCCTGCTGCTCACACTGCTGCCATTTACTTGTCTCGTGCCGAGGTCAAGCCCACTTTGTACGAGGGTATGTTGGCCAACGGTATTGCTGCTGGCGGTCAGTTGACTACCACCACCGACATTGAGAACTTCCCTGGTTTCCCCAAGGGTATTTCCGGTACCGGCTTGATGGAGGCCATGAGAGAGCAGTCCGAGAGATTCGGCACTGAGATCATCACCGAGACCATCTCCAAGGTCGACTTGGCCCAGAGACCATTCAAGTTGTGGACTGAGTGGAACGAGGACGCTGAGCCAATCACCACCGATGCCATCATCATCGCCACCGGTGCTTCTGCCAAGAGAATGCACATTCCTGGTGAGGACAAGTACTGGCAGCAGGGTATTTCTGCCTGTGCTGTTTGTGACGGTGCCGTGCCACTTTTCAGAAACAAGCCTTTGGCTGTCGTGGGTGGTGGTGACTCTGCCTGTGAGGAGGCTTTGTTCTTGACCAAGTACGCCTCCAAGGTGTATCTCCTCGTCAGAAGAGACGTCTTGAGAGCTTCTACCATCATGCAGAAGAGAGCTCAGAACCACGAGAAGATTGAGATTTTGTGGAACACCTCCGCCACTGAGGCCAAGGGTGACGGCAAGGTCTTGACCTCCCTTGACATTGTCAACAACAAGACCAACGAGAAGTCCGAGCTCCCCGTCAACGGTTTGTTCTACGCCATTGGTCACATCCCTGCCACCTCCGTCTTTGCTGACCAGCTCGATACCGACGACACTGGTTACATCAAGACCGAGCCTGGTACCGCCAACACCTCCAAGCCATTCGTTTTCGCTGCTGGTGACGTTCAGGACAAGAAGTACAGACAAGCCATTACCTCTGCTGGTACCGGCTGTATGGCTGCTCTTGACTGCATTGCCAAGCTTGAAGAGGAGGAGGCCTAATCTTATAGACTACGATAGAATTCTGCTGGACAGTAGGATGCCCATCTAATGTGATATTACGTATAAGTCAGTGTAGATGATATGAATTGAACTTAAACTTCGAGTTTATTGATAACCAGGGTTTCTAAGCAAATTTCAAGTCTCCCTAGTTCCACCAGATCGAATGGAAAATAGTAGGAGTATCGGAATTACAGCCTTAAAAGTCACGTGCGGAAACCACTAAGGCTACTACTGCGATAAGGTAGGCGGAGGTGTCAGTTACCATGTCATTTAGTAACCCCTTCCAGGACGATATCGAGAACGATGCTTCTTCGAACCACTATAAAGATTTTCCTGAGTTTGAGACTCTATCTCAAGCTATAGATAACAATTTACACAACATCAACAACAGCCAGCTAGTGTCTATGAGGAACTTGCTAGGTCAGTATGAGAAGTTACTACATAGTGGGAATGACGCTGCTGATTCTGGAAGCTCGAAAGTACCACAGGAAATTCTGGAGGTCTCGACAAAATGTACCGAGTCCTTCAAAAAGATCAACAATCTTGCCAAGGAGTTGAATGACTACCTCACCCTGTGTGAAGACAATCATGAGGACCCAGATGCATTGAGGTATCTCCGCCAAAAGGAAGGAATTCATGTGAGCTTAATACGTTCCAGTTTACAACAGTACCGCCGTCTACAACAGAGATACTCCGCCCTTCAAAAGCAGTTTGTAACCAAGATCCCTGCGAACCAGATTGAGGAACGAACTGTGGAGGAGCAGGGTGCCGGGCCTCAGCAGCAAAGTATCCAGATCGAATATGAACCCGTCAATGCCGAGGAATTGGAACAACAAACGCTTTTAATCGAAGAAAGAGAGAGGGAAATACAACAGATATCGCAGGACACACAGGAAATCAACGATATCTTCTCGAACCTACAAGACATTATTCAGGAGCAACTGTTCCAGATCGATACAATCGAAGAGAATATCAATAGCTACAGTGCTGATGCTAGAGGGGCTTCGGGTGAGCTTCGTAAAGCTGAGAGGTATCAAAGAAGATCCAGTGGGCGTATGTGCTGCTGTCTCATCATTCTTCTATCTGTCCTAGGGTCTATTATTTTTATCTCTATAGTCCTTTAATGGTTATGCTTCCCATATGTTCACATGTCCGTCATCTCCAGCGCTGACAAGCACTTCGCTGCCATCCTCTAAGAAACACCATGTGAGGCAATTGATTTCGTAGACCCCATGGGCAGCATTTTGAACGCTGTCAATTTGCCAATCTTTCCCATCAAACTTGTAGATGGCAATCTGACCATCGGCACCCGCGCTGGCAATCTTGCCAGACTTGGACCAGGCGACAGAGTAGATTGCATACTTGTGGACAGGAGGAAGCGTCTTCTCTAGCTCCCAGGGCATCTCTGCGCTATGGTGCTTGATTGAGCTGGGTAAACCCGTTGAAGACTCTGTCTCCTCTGGGGCGGCACTAGTCCAGATACGAACGGTGGAATCATCAGAACATGAAACTAGTCTGACAATGTCATTTGATGCAAGTTGTGACAGAGGATCTTCAAAGGCAGAGCACCAAACAGTTCCCTGGTGGCCATTAAGCAATCCAACGCAAGACCAGTCTTCGTCGTCATCGTCCTGCTTATATAGTCTTATTGTATCATCATATGAGGAACTGGCTAGGATGTTCTGAGCAGGGTGCCAGGTTATGTGCTTGATATCATGCTCGTGATCGCTCAACACAGAGACACATTCAAACTCCTCTAATGTTTCAGGATCCGTCTCCCATATCCACACCGTCTTGTCTCTCGAACAGGATGCCAAAAACCTTCCCGTCTTGTTCCATGCTACCGATTTAATCTCATTTTCGTGACCCTCAATCAATGCCATAAGATTCCATTCATTTGTAGGGCTTGTAAGCACATCGGCCTCTCTTCTCTTCCTCGCCTCTGTTGCAGTTTCATCTTCCTCGTCCATATCATCTTCATTGTCCAAGAACTCCTCTGGTTCATCGATACCCCAGACAGAAATCGTTGAATCGAACGAGCCACAAGCCAACGCTGGAAGATCGATAAACTGAGTATCCGTCGATGTCAAATGGGGTTTGAAGTTGACAGCCCTCACGGATCTCTTGTGAGTCTCTTCAAGCTTGGCGATCTGGGGAAAGTTTTTCCGCCTCGAGAGCTTGTAGATCTTACTTGTCTTATCACTCAGGGCTGTTGCCAAAAGCGGCAAAGTATTATGAGAATGGACACTCCATGCTTTGTCTGTGTGAGCAGGGATTGATTTGATTAAAGAAACCATGAGGACGGTATCTGCATGGATTACTCAAGCTTGATAGAGGTTCGTGAGACCTGCACCTGTGTGCTCCAACTACAGAAGATGAGTTACTGGATTGTGTGTATTTTCGTGCCTGTTATTAATAATCGTCCTCAATTAAGCCTAATTGCTTGCTGAAATATTGGAGAACCCTCTGAGCATCTCTGTTTTGTGCGCATGCGAAGATGATCTCCTTGAGTAGCTCTTTCCTGTCGTAGCCGCATACCTGCGACTCTTCCACTGGGTTTTCCTTAGATCCATTACCTAAAAGCTTCTCGCAGAGCTCAAAGAGTTTTGCTTTGAGACCTAATTCGCAAACTCTTTTGCAGTAGGTGATTAAAAAGTCATGGAAGTCCTTGAACTCTCCGAGAAGTTCGCTGCACAATATACGGTTCTCCATGTGAGATAACGAAATGGTGTTCTCAAGGTTCTCAAATCCTTCTTTCATAATCAAATTTTTCGAGATTTTGTTGAAGTACTTTCCTCTTCCCACACGACTCTTCCTAATAATTTCTTCGTTGGTCTTATGCTCGAGGAGACCTAAGATGGACTCGTCGCCCGCCTGTAAAATCTTCGAAGCTTGGGGTTCGGATGAAACCTTATCGTCGCCAATGGAATCCCAGTAGTGAGAGCCAAATGCCCACCAAGCCTCTGTGACTGTCTGCCAGACGCCCATATCGGAGTTGAACAAATAGCCTGAACCATTAGAAAGGGTCACCAAAGGTATGCCTTTAGAAGTGATTGAACACATTGTGATATTTTCAGACTTGCTCAAAGTATCCTCACGAAATTTGCTATGAGAGTCTAGAATGGATGCAAGCGACAGAGGAGAGTGAAGTCGTATCTTTTTCTGACCCATATCCCAGACGTATAATTCACCAATTCCTGTCACTGCCATGAGGTAGTCTCCATGGCTCTCTAAGAAGACAATTGGAGACCCAAGAACCATTGGTGGAAGAAAACGTTTGCCTGAAACATGGGTGTAAGTGATAATTTGCCCGTCTGCTGTGCAAACTGCCCAAAAACTGTTACCCTCGGTAGCAAGTTGAATATATCTAGGAATAAAGTCACTCCAGATAGGCAGCTCATTTTTGTAGCAGGTGATCCTCGATGGGGCATTCTCGTTACCTTGTCCATTTCTCACATCTAAAAGCATCTTGTCGTCGGTTCGGCATGGTAATTGGAAAGACATCCTTACTTTTGGTATTGAGAGTCTCACTTTGGCGAAAGCTGTGTTGGGATTAAGTACAGCGGTGCCCACAAATTTGATGGGTTCAAGGTCACGCCTAGCTTTTTTAGCAGGGCCTCCATCCTCTTGACTTCTATTTCTTTTGCTGTCTTTATGAATCTCCTGGGAAACGCCATATGATGGTCTGTCAAATTCCATTAAGGACTTGGTAGATGCTCTCGACTCATTATCGCCTCCTGTGCTTTTAGTGAGCGTGCTTGACTGAGCAGCCTGTCCGTTTCCATTCGATATAAGCATGGGCTGTATACGCTTTTTCCCATTCTTTGTGGATGTTTTTTGATTTGCAATTGTTGGTGCTGAAGCCTCGGTTTTAGCCTTTGCGGTTGTTTTTGTCTTGGCTGAAGGGTTTGCCGAAGATGCCTTTGTTCTGTCGCCCATTGCAGTACTCATAATATCATCGATTTGTCCAGGGGTGTTGCTCAGCAAAACCTCTGGAGTTATATCACCCTGGACTTCTGGGGCAATGTTGACATCTTTTTCCTCCTTCTTTTTCGCAGAACTGGTCTTTTTTTCCGACTTGGTTTTCACCGGCTCAGCGAATGCGTCAGCTAATTTTATGGAATCTTTTTGGTCGACCAAATCGGAACCAGACTTTTGGCCACGCTTGGTTGTAGTTTCAGAATCTTTTGCGGAAAAAGGTTTGATGAAGGCCTTCTGTGTATCTTTGAGTTTCTGAAGTCTTTCTTCTGTGATGGGCTCTCCTAATTCAAGAGGATCAAACTTGACAAAGGTGAGATGACCATCGAGCGAAGCGAAAATAAGTTGTTGGCCGTTTCTGTCCCAGCAGATGTCGACTATTGGCTTCTCAGATACTTCTCGAAGAACGGCGATGGGTGATTCTTTCGTGGTATTCCAGAGTGCTAAAGTCTTGTCAGAACCAGCCGATGCAATGATATGATAGATATTATGAGCGTCTGGTTCACTCGACTCTTCTTTAGCCTGAAATATGTGCGGGCTAAACTTGACTACGTCGCAATCGACATCATGACCAACAAGGCTTACTTTATGTTCCCAATCTTGAGATCTCGAAAGGAGTGAAATAAGTGACGTGTGCTGTTTGCTTGCCGAGGGCACTGAGAAGAATTCATCATCACTCGACCACGAAATTCTTTCGTAGTGTATTGCCATCGTGGTTGTTGGATTATTGTTCATGAGTTTTGAGATTTTGTTGGTCAATTTGAATTGATAATTGTCCGAAGCATCGTAGTGATATTGGTACACATGAAGGAATGTGTCGAGACCCATGGTGACAAAATTGCTATTGGAGTGATTGAATGCGATGCTTTTTTGGGAGCTTGTCTTTCCCTTGCTTCCATCGTCCGTTGTCTCGTTGAGCGATTGGTATGTTTCCTTGACAAGATCGTATATATGGACTTTACCATCACTAGTGCTCCATGATAACAATCTCAGATCTGCAGACCATGATATATCAGCAACATCGGCTTCTTTATCTTTGGCCAGCGGCCACGGATATAGTAGTTTATGTGATAAATCCGTCATGTTGGTGAGGTATACAAAGCCGTTCACATCACCGGAGGCCAAGTACGCAGGCTGAACTGTCGACCATCTTGCTACCCTAACAGGAGCTTCGTGTATTTTGATTGTTTGTGTGGGCTGAATTTTCAATATTTCTTCCTCAGAAACACCTTCGAGACTGGTTAGCTGAGAGTAGTCCCAAACACAGATATCAGTGTCATTTCCTGTCGTAGCAACATATCTGCTTGACAGGTCAATGTCCACGGAGTGTACTTCACCTCCATGAAGCAATTGCGGAAGGACCAAAAGTTTCATTGGATTTGGCAGTTAGATGAACACACTAGTATGAGGGACGTTGAGTATCTCAAACCTGCACTTGAGTGGGACACCGCTAACGCTTCCTCTTCGAAATAAGCCTCCAAATTTAGTTCTTGAGGTTGTCAAGGAGATAAGTCAATTTAGTTTTTCATGTTTTCCTCCAGTCCGAGTAAAAATGATTGTAAAATTGCCTCCTTGATTTTTAATGGGTACATGACATTCATAGAATTGGTCAAACCTGAGTAATACTGCCGCTTTCGCAAAAATTCAACAAGATTCTTGTACATTTGGAAAAGTTGTCTACATCTAAAATTGGAAGAGATTATCCCAGATTAGAGATTTAATCATATTCATCGAGGATAGTTCAAATTATCAACACTTTTCTACACTCTTTTTATAACTACGCCTGAATTCCATTGGTTGGCTCCGTCTCTTCTCATGCGCTTATCTATACTATATCACGTGAGATCAGATGGTTTTTGAGTTTCTTCAAGATTGCATCACATTTGGTATTATTAATTCTACTACTCAAGAGTATATGTTGGAAGTCTTCCTCAGAACCTCTTTCAATCGATCATCTTGCCTCATGACCGTCACTTTGGACATCTTCTTGGCCGAAAAAAGTGGTCCGTCATACAAGGGGTGAAGTCCGAGTGTACAAAAAACACTTCTTTGACCCATAATCCACATTATCAAGAAGCCAGTCTGAACCCCACAAGGCATATTTTGCGTACATTGAGCATTCAAAATGTCGCATGCAGCCATTCATGAAAATGGCAATGACCAACTCACCGACTCGAGCTCAGACTTCTCTGAATATTGGATTGACTTGTTCTTAGGGATAAAAGGCAACGAATACTTCTGTGATATAGACGATGACTACATCCGGGACCGTTTCAACTTGACGGGCCTTAACCAAGAGGTGAGCAAGATCCCCACATTGGTCGATATCATTACTGACATGGCCGATATTGAGCATCAACCTGAGGAACATCGAGATGCTTTAGAACACAATGCAAGAATACTATACGGTCTCATCCACGCAAGATACATCTTATCTCAGCGAGGCCTCAACAAAATGTTCGAAAAATATAAGAACGGTGATTTCGGATATTGCCCTCGAGTTCATTGCCACTTGCATCCACTTCTTCCCGTTGGGTTGAGCGATCAGCCCAGAATCAACTCAGTGAAACTATATTGCGCTAAATGTGAGGACTTGTACAACCCGAAGTCAGGCAGACATGCTATCGTCGATGGAGCCTACTTTGGAACATCTTTCCCTGCTATGTTCTTCCAAAACTTCCCCCACGCCATTCCAGTTCATAGTCGGGAAACTTATACACCTAAAGTCTTCGGCTTTAGGGTGCACGAATATTCTAAGTTAGATAGATGGAGAAAGTTGCAGAGGCGGAAACTTGAAAAGAGACTACAAGGATACGGCATCGAAATCAATAATACCAGCGGCGGGTTTCTTGCTGAGGAGAACAAGGGCGATCAGGGATATCCTAATTAGAAGCGTTTTGAAGGGAGTTTAATTTGGATAATGAGATTGGTCATTTCAAGTGAGCTAGGCACAAGGTGTACGTCAAAGGGCACAACAAGCGGTGATCGATTGCATAATGGCCGTGGGCACAACTTGGAGGCGGTCCACGGGCAGTTTTTATGTACAAAGCATCAACTTTCGTTTTTGAGGATCAGTCATTAGCGGGAGAATAGAAAACATCGAGCTCAATAGTGTAGACTTTGTAGTGCGCGATATGGATATCAACGATTACCACCTACCGAATGCTAAGAACTGGTATAAGAGCAGTACGCAACAAGGCCACTGTGGCAAGCATAGATAAAATAAATGAGTTTCCAGCAGACTCAAGAATTTTTTCACTTATACAGCCAACAGGGAAGATCCACTTGGGAAACTACTTAGGAGCCCTCAAGAACTGGAAGCACATAGCGAATGAAGCCCCACCATCAGTGAGCTGTTTCTTTGGAACAGCTGATCTTCACTCCTTGACAATACAGCCTGACCCAAACACTCTTAGAAAGAACAGGGACGGTGCCATTGCCAGCTTACTTTCCCTGGGTCTTGATCCGCAGAGATGTGTGATTTTTCACCAGTCTAGCATTCCAGAGCACGCCGAACTCAATTGGATCCTTGTGTGTTTGACGAGTATGGGAGCCTTGAACCGAATGACTCAGTGGAAGCTGAAGGCCAATGTCAACGAAAGTCAGAGCATCTTCACAGAGAAGGTGATGGGCCAGACAAAGGCGGGGCTCTTGATATACCCTGTTCTCCAAGCAGCTGATGTCTTGCTTTACAACTCCACCCATGTGCCTGTTGGCGACGACCAGGCCCAGCATTTAGAGCTTTGCCGCAACATTGCTTCAACTTTCAATCACACTTACGGGAACTTTTTCCGTCTTCCCCAGACGCTTTTCACACCGGCTAAAAAGATTGCAAGTTTGAGAACACCCGAGAAGAAGATGTCAAAGAGTGATCCCGATCAAAACTCGTCTGTTTACGTAAATGACGAGCCAGACGTTATTGCGAAGAAGTTCCGTAAGGCTGTTACAGACTCTGTTCAAGGTCCCGTTACGTTTGACCCTGTGAACAGACCCGGAGTATCAAACTTGGTAAGCATAATCTCTGGTATTCTTGACAAAAGCACAGAACAAACAGTCAAGGACTTGGCATGGGTCGAAAACCACAAGCAATTGAAGGACTATGTTACTGAAGTAGTGGTGGAGGAGTTCAAGGACAAGAGAGCTGAGTACGAGCGGTTGATTGGCGACCGTGCCTATTTAGCTGAAGTTACATCCCTAGGTACCAACAAGGCTCGTGAAATAGCCACAAACAACCTTCAGCAGGTCAAAAAACTTGTTGGTTTAGCGTGATGTATGCATCTTGCCCGGCGCACATAGCGTTTGTGGGTTGCAGAAATGGTTGCAAAATGCTCGCACCACATTGTACATAGCAGGGGCAGCAATCACCACAATGAACTGAAGAACCACCTTATAGATAACATAGTTCACATCAATTGATCGATTGATTTGAGTTACCGCAACAAATGTAGATATTGTGGAATAAGTTGTAGCTACGACCACGCCCCACCCCAAGATCCTGAAGTCCAATGACAAAGAACCACTGTGGCACGCGTGGTAAGACATTCCAGAGGCATGCCAAAAAAGAGGCTTCCGAAAGCCCTATCAAAATCGCATAAAAGGGCATGTCAGCTCGGATCCCGCGGAAGTCTCAAATCACGCTTAAGGCGCCGTGGGGCTGTTTGCTGTACGCGCTATACTAGTCGCGAGACACCGCGAAACCGATGGCTGCAAAACAAACAAGGCCAGGGCCCACCACCTGAAGGGCCCCTTTGGCACTCAAACTTCAAAAATACTTTTCAACTTTGAAAGCAGCAGGTTTTCCGATATTTATAGTCTTCGTCTCCCCGTTTCTTTTTCTATTTCCGATACGTCATCATCTCTCGCGTCGCGTTGTTTACATGGGAGCGTTGTGCGACCATGCAATCGATGTTCTCCATCCTGTGGTGAAAGATCTCTGCCCTAACAACATTGCGCCCTGTGTGCGAGTCCCGTGGTCAAGTCTTGTTTATACGTCACTTTTTTTTTGTTTAGAGATACACCTTTCTTCTGGAGCAGCCATCCACATTCGTTTACTAAAAAGGCCATGACTCCAGAGGACCAACTCTACAGACGGATGCAAGTCAAGGTCTTGTACTCCTTCGACAACAGTCCGACGGTGTTCTTGTCTCGTTCCAAAAACCAGTATTCGGTGAAAGTCGCCCAGATTCCAATGCAACTGGCCACCGAAGAGGAGGCCCTCGTCACTCTAGGTGCCTTCGACCTCAAGAACTGTGTTCAGCAAATCCTCAAATCGTCTCCGGAGCACTTTCGTCTTCATGACCAAGACTACGCGGTTTACTATAAAGACATCACCGAGCAACCTGACGAGCCCTTCGTGGCCAATGGCGTCATGTCCTCCTTGCTATCGTCTGGTAAACAACACCTCGTGCCTGGCCGTGTCTGCCAAAACTTGCTGGCCTCCTTCTTGTTTGGCGATAAGGCAAACTCCTCCTCGTTGACCTTGGAGATTCGCCTTAAACTCAATGTGATTGAGAAGCACCCAGAGGAGCAACAACAGCGCCCCAACCCGGAGAAGATGAAGCTGGCCTCCCAGGCTTCTCCATCATACCCACAGCAGTCACAGCCGCCTGTGCGGAGAAGCAGGCCTGCCAAACAGCAAATGGCCTCCTCTGCCGCCGTTAAGGCCACAAGGACGAAGTCGCTTCCGATCTTCTACCATCCTCCTAATCAGCATATTTCCAACATCATCAACGCCGATAAGTCGAACTTACCGTCGCGTTACGATAGCAAAAGCATCCAGGAACGGTTCAGTCTGGCGCCGTTCATGCTGGCCAAGATCATCGACAAACCTGCCAGAAAGAGACGGCGCTCAAACGTGCCATTGACCCCCACGGTACAGACTCCGGTGGACAATGGCTTACAACCCATGCGAGCCATGAAGACCCGGTCTATGGTTAGTAATGTCTTCCCTTCGCATTCAATGATCAGCTCGCCGATTCACGAAGAGCTCATGTCCGAGGCCTCGGATGATACTGAATATCAAGAAAACAGCCGACCCATAGATGAAGAGGATGAGGACGAAGAGGACTATAATTCCCAGAACGACGCGTCGTCATCCCCATTTACGCCACAGCAACCACCCTACAAGCCTGGGCAACAGGAGAAAAAGCATCAATCCAACTCCATAATACCGAATAACGATCACTCCCACTTTCAATCACTTCCTGACACCGAGGATCTCGATAGCAAAAAGACTCACACAATCCCGAGTACGAAGCTACCTCACGATCACGATCTCGTTTGCATTAATAGGAACTGCGCAGCGAATGACTCCATAACATGGAGATACTTCGAGACAAAGTTTCATCCAAGCTATTTGAACATCCAGCGTGCTGAAAAGTTTGACAAGTCGCTTTACGATGGTATGTTCGGGCCCTTGTGTAATGCTTGTTACCTTTTCCTCCGTAACAAGGGCTTCATGCGCCCTGAAGCGGTTGTTAAGAAATATCTACAGCAGCAGAAGTATAAGAAGGAGCTCAAACTCAAGGAGGATGCTATTCGTGATAAGTCCTCTCCATTCTCCAGTGCTATGATGGAGCTCAACAAGTTTCCTACCCCTACGCATGCTCCATCGGCTATAAATGAGTTTATCAAAAACCAGAATAATAAGGGACATGCCGGTGTCAACCTTAGCAAGCAACCAACGCCTCTGGCAAATGGGCGTACACCGACTGACGTATCTGACTATCAGGATCTTAATGATTTCATGAACCAGTTGAATTCCTTTGGCGGGCCTCTCACGGATATCGACCTTCCACAAGATCTTCAGTCCAATAGCAAAAAAGAAAGCACACCACCAGCTATGGCTACGAAGTCAAACACTCGTGTCATTAATCTATATGAAGACGAAGATAAGGAAAACCAACCGCCAACCGTTGAGGACGACCTTCACGACTTTGACCAGATGATCATGAAATCCTTCAGTCTGCGGTCCAGTCCCGATCACCAAGACTGGTCTCAGTTCTTTGGTGAACGGACACCAAAGGATGCAAACACACCAGGCGCCGGACTGCTGCGTACACCACTTGCTGATACCTCGAATAACTCCAATACGCTCAGAAGGCCGCTGCCAAAGCTCGATGGCCAGAAAGCTGCTGTTGTGAACATGCCGTCGTCTCCGCTTTTGTCGAGCTATGATGACCTTTCAAACAAAAGCAGAGACATGCTCAACAAAAACTCATCTCCTGGTACTACAGCGGTTAGGAATGATACGACGATGTCATACGTGCAAGGATCCAAGTCGAGTCCCCATAGTGAAATCGGCATGATTGACGAGAAACAAAGCCTTCAAGGTTTGTGATGCATAATTAATATAAAAAAGTCTCATCTAAACTCAGTCAAATTGACTAGAACTTGACGTAGAGTAATCTCTTACATAATCACCATCCTTCACCTCCTGCCCTGAAGCTAAGCACCTATTTTGTGATTATTTTCAACAGTATACCTTAAGAGTCCCTTTCCAGAGATTTTCGCCGAGTTTGTTGCCAGTTATCTTCCAAATCAAGGTGTGAAGAAGGTAGCGGGACACTCTGGATCCTAATTATCTGAATAGTAGTCCAAATTGGCTCAAATTCTCGCATCTTAATACATGACACAAAATTAAACTATTCAAAAACTCAAAATTTTAAAAATTCGAGTATAAATTCAGAAACTGAATATAAAAGAATATATAAAGGCAGCAATTATCACAAACAATAACAGCCTGGTTAGCTCAATCGGTAGAGCATTTGACTCTTAATCTTCTAAGGTCAATCAAAAGGTTGCGGGTTCGAGCCCCGCATCGGGCTTCTTTTTTGCATCCCTATCTATTCTCACACCACTAACTGCGGGCTTGGCTAAAATTGATCTATAATAATAATTCATAAACTACTACAATGTCTTTAGTTGCCCCCAAGGATTACATGGCTTTGCTTGACAAAGCGGCCTCTTCACTCAAAGAAAAACTCGCTCCTTTCAAAGATACCCCAATCGTGAGCCCAAGAGTACTCATCATCTGTGGATCTGGATTGGGAGGCATCGCCAATGTGTTAGCACCAGAACCACGTTTGGAGGTTCCTTACGGTGACATTCCTGGCTTCAAAACATCAACTGTGCCTGGTCACGCTGGAAAGCTCATTTTTGGTACAATTGGTGAAAACAAGGTGCCAGTTATTTGCATGGTTGGAAGGTTGCACTTCTACGAGGGTTACACTTTCCAAGAAACCACATTCCCAGTGAGATTAGCCAAGCTCTTGAATGTGAAAACTGTTGTAGTCACCAACGCTGCCGGAGGTGTCAATGAAAAATTCAAACCTGGTGACTTGATGATCATTGAGGACCACATCAACTTCCCTGGCCTTGCTGGATTCCACCCATTGAAGGGTCCTAACTTGGAAGAATTTGGTCCTCGTTTCCAGCCATTGTCTGACGCTTACAGCCACGAATTGCGTCACTTGTTCTTCAAGAAAGCCAGTCTGTTGGGCGTAACTCGTGCCATTCACCAAGGTACATACTTTTTTGCAGCGGGCCCTACATTTGAGTCCAGAGCGGAGGTCCGTATGATTCGTACTTTGGGAGGTGATGCTGTAGGTATGTCCACTGTGCCCGAAGTCATCGTGGCTCGTCACAGCGGCATGGACGTGTTGGCCTTGTCTCTTATCACAAATGCTGGTGTAGGTGAGAAGCCTCCAAGTGCATTCGAAGAAAACCCAAAGCCCTTGGATGATGGTATGGCTTCACACGACGAGGTGTTGGAGAGTGCTAATGAAGCATCGAAGGACGTTCAGAAGATCTTCACAGCCACCATCAATGAGTTGTGAGCTTCCAGCTACAAAACCAATTGCATCGATAGTCCACGTCTTTTATAGATAAAGTATATTAGATGATGAGCACCACATGTAGCAGTTTCATTTTACAAAGGATCAAGTGATACCGAATATTTTTGCTCTACTGCTCTACTTCCCCAGCGGACATCCATGTGCCCTTCAAGTTCTCCTTCCATAGCGTGACCTTGTTGTCGCCACCCGAGACAGCCAAGATGTTTCCCAGCAAAGACCAGGAAGCTCTCCAGCACACATCTGGGAAAGGCTCTGGCGTCAACGGCTGCTTCTGCCACACACCCTGATTATCCTGCGACCAGATGAGCACAGTGCGGTCTTGCGAGGCAGTAGCAATGTATGAACGAACCAAGATCGAGGGGGACCATGCCACATCTCTCACCCAGTCGGAATGACCGGCCAATTTGGCCTCTTCGACGTAGGAGCCCAGCGCCTGGTCGAATCTCCAAATCTTGGCTAAGTTGTCAGAGCCGCAGGTCACAAATCTTCGCTGTTGGTTACTGGCATCCTTGGCTCCAGAAGCACCGAGTGGAGCCCAAGAGGCCAGGTTCACACCAATGGCATGGGCGTCGAAGATAACATGCGAGGTGGTTCCATCGTCGTTGAAGTCCACGACGGAAACTTTGCCGTCAGATGATGTGCATAACAAGACAGCGCCCAATTCGTGAGGAGCCCACGAGACAGAATTCACGGAGGCCAGGTGGATCAGGTGTTCAGCGATAATGGACCACTGCTGTGTTTCAGGTTGTTCTTTCCAAATGATAGCTTTGCCGTCGTACGAGCACGAGGCCAAAATGGAGCCAAACTTGGGATGAGCCCAAGCAACCTGCCATATAGGTCCATCGTGGCCAACTAAGGTCTCCACCAACTTGTGGCTGTCAGTGCCCTCAATGTCAAAGATTTTGATTGTCTTGTCTGACGAGGCAGTGGCCAATCTCTTGCCGTAGTAGTCGAGCACGGCATCGTGGATCAAGTCGTCATGAGCGTCTGTGATAGCCACCATTCTGTGCTTTTAAATGGCGTAGCTTAGTTGCCTTGAGCTCTGCTATAACGTTAGCGACCGTGTTGTTCGCACTTCGCACCCGTACCTCAGCATTGGGGGCATAGTTGCAACCGATTTCAATGAAAGCGATATGGAGCTAGATCCCAGACATTTGCCTTCATTGGTGTCTTTGCTCAATGACCAAATCACAGATTTAGATGAGAGAATTGTGACTTTAACCGCGTCTGCCAAAAAGTTGGTATCACCGGAGACTTACGAAGAACTCTCGAAGGAGAAACCTGCTCTGGAAGCTCAAGAGCTAGACGAGGAAACGCTCATCGAGGAACTAGAGAAAAACAGAATCCAGCTTGTTGCTTCTTTGCAACAACAGGATTTTATTCGAGGAAAATTGCAAGAGATGATCGCAGATTCTCAACTGCTTGTCAGTACCGTTGTGGACCAATGTGAGGCTAGAAAAAGCGAAACAGAGAACGAGGAAGCGGCTTTCGAGGAGCGCTGTGCTGGCTACAGAAGCTCTATTAAAGATTTAACCATCAATGATTTGAAAGATAATGTGGAGAACTCCTCTCGTGTGTTGGACTACCTTCAAACAGAGTCTCTTAGGAATCTCCAAAACATCTCCACCGCACAGGGAACCCTAGAATCAGAGGCCTACAAGAAGCTGTTGAACGAAACCATCGATGTATTGAATACCACTTTCGAGAAATTGGTGAAGACCTAATTGTTAGCTTATTGTTCTGCACTGGACGTGGTTGGCGTGGTGGGCTCCTGGCCCACGAGCCTGTAAGCCTTGTCAATGTAACGTCTGTTTGGATCAATCTTGCGGTATATTTTCCTGATTCTATCCAAGTCCATTTTTGATCGGTCAAAGTTGAAGACCTGGAGCACAAAGACCATGAGCTCGTAAAGATATGTCACAATAATGCGGAGGCCCCAATAGGTATTCTCATATTCCTTATCCTCCTTTTTAACATAATCACGTCCTGTCAAACTGAAGATAATTTTGCGACGTTCCTCATCGTCTTTGAATACCTTGTGGAACTTGGGGCTGTGAATTAAGTGCTCTGAAATGTCCTCGAGTTTTTGAACACTACCCTTGTTAAGGTTGAAGTCGAATTTTCTAGTGTTATCATCCAACTCGTTGATCTTTTTCAATAAGTCTCGCGATCTAAAAGCCATTCTATCGATGTTGTCTGTAATATCCCGCATACGACCGGCAAGTACCGCTGAATAGTTATCTTCGATATTCTCATGCTTTGATTGCATCTGCGCGTAGACGTTTTGAAGCTTCACCAACTCAAAATTAGTTTGTTTGTAGAGTCGTCTCACCTTATCGTTTCCAGTTCTGTCGAGAGAGGCTTTCAAGCACTCTAACTTGGCCAATTGCATCAATCGTTGAAGGAATTTCATGCAAACTTGTTCCTCCGAGATGGGTCTCTCGTACCTAAAAAGATGTTCATCAAGGCACGACACGGAAAGAGATCTTCTTAGGGGGATCTCCTTTCTTTCAATAATCTCATGGATTAGTTCCACACGCTCCTCTCGAACGAACTCAATGGTATTCAAATTCAAGTCGGACCCAGGATGAACAATCGGGAAGGAATTACGCCGATTGAGAAGAGCCTTGGTATCTCTTTGGCGCAATTCTGGCGCACACTCCTCCACCGCCTGCTTACATGCTTCGTAGTCTGCTCCATTTGCGAGCTGATTAAGTTGAGCATCCAACAATGATTCGTTGAAATGCTGCTTGTTTGGAGATGCCTTGTCAGTTGAAGCAAAGTCGGCGAACATGTCTTTTTTAGCAAGACCATTTCCCCTCCTTCCTTGAAAGCCGAATCTCATACGACTTCCTCTTTTATTGCGATCATTTGAGAAGGCACTAGCGTTTTGGTTCATAGTTATCGCTTGTTTCAAACTGATAAACTTATATTTCGAGTTGTCATCCGAGCCCTTCCTCGAAGTTGAGCCGTGACGCTCTGGGTGTGTTGTATAGCCAACATGAAGTGTTCTTTGTGAGTGGTCGTCATGATGAGACGACCCGTGCCAAAGTCCTTTAAGAGTCTTGCCATACAAATGCTTGCGAACCAAAAGATCCAAATCTAAGGTTTCGATATCACTTGGTGAAACATTATCACTAAGCTTTGATGCAATTTTGTTTCTTATCTTTCCTCCAGCTGCTGATGAAGGATCAAAGAAGTTGTCGTCGTCCTCCCTTACAATAATATGATCTTGCACTGTATTCTTGACGACATTAGTGAGCTTCTTGAGTTCCTTTGAGTAATAAAGTCGGTTTCTCTTATACAAGGAGTTTTCCTTGGAGTTCTGTGAAAAGCGAGAAGAGCTCTTGTTTGGACCATATGTTCCAACGTACGGATCATAAAAGTCCTCATGTTCATCTCCAGAGAGATCTCCTGTATGCTTTGTACTATCGGAGGGATACTTCTGGCTCGTGAAGTTAAACAAGCGCAGAAGAGTCAACAAATCAAGCTTTCTCTTCTTCTCGATCTTGACCTGCTTTTGAAACTGACCGATAGAGAGCATGAAGTTCTCAAAATCGAAAACATCTTTGGGAACATCACAGCCTCCATACAAATGTAAGCGCAACCTAACGCTTAGTGTGAGACTAAGAATGGCTGCGACAGACTTAGAGGGAAGGATGCCGCTTTTTGGATTAGGCTTGACATTGAAGTGAGGCAAGCCGATCAAGCTCCACCAATTATTGATTGCATCTTCCGTTTTCTGACAGAGAAGGCCATCACAGTATCTGGCATCAAGAAAATCAAAGTAGAACAAACAAGTTTGTATAAGGTTCACCAACTGTCTGATAGCAAACTTCATAGGCACGTTCTCATCCAGGAGTTTGTACATCTGCCTGAACTTATCCTCCGATGCGGAAGACACTTTCTGAGCTGCAAGTGAAAGGGAACGACCTCCGCAGTTAAGTTTCTTGAGATTGGAGTTGAGGACGAAGCGCTCCTCCACAAGCCTGGTATCTCCCTCAGTCACAGGAATCAAATTCAAGTTTGAAGGAAGCGCCTCTAAGCTGGTGACAAGCAAAAACTCGTTGACAATTGTCTCGTCCTGCGAGGACAGGTTCGTCTCTAGTTCCATCTTCTTGAACGTAGCATGGTTCATCATCATCTCATTGAGGTACTCCTGGAACCGAGCCGGATACTGTTTCAGGGGCTTCCGTAGAATGGTAAACTTGATGACTTTCACCCTGGCTTCGGCATTGCCGGTATAAGCGGAAATTACACCACCTATCTTTCTGCCTCGTATCCACTGGTCGACTAGGTATATCTCGAACCCCAGAGCCTCTGTCTCCTCAGCAACGTGGAATTCATTAAGTGCTATGAAATCTTTCTGGAAATAGCTGACAGCCTTGAAGTCGGGAAATATGTATGTTATAAGTTCTCCAGCATTATGCCGTTCATTTGTATCAAGCACGTTTTCCAGCGTGTTGTTCCTTTCTGTTTGCAGCTTGGGGACATACTGCCGTCGTGGAGGCCGCTGCTGGAACTCGACCGGAGCAAAGTTGACCACCGGTCCTAAAGCGTACATGAGGAATGTGTTTGTGATTAAAGAAGTCCGACTAAAAACCCCAGGTTATGCGGTAACGCATTGATGTATACCGGCCACGGTGCATCCGGATGATCACAGGAGGGAGACTAAAATTTAAGAGGGGCCAATATAGATGTTGATTTTTTATGGATTTTCTGCATGCTTCACACTCTTTTTTTTTGGTTTTTATTCTCGTGGCTCTTGAAATTCTTGTGGTATAAAGATGCTGATCCATAGTGGCAGCCGTTGCGATGCAGATACTCGGGTGAGATGATAACAGCTACATACGACAATTTAGGTTGCTATTTCCCCAAAAACACTTATATGCTTCAGTTTCATATGATCTCGAGATTGAACTGTAGAGAAACCGCTTTTGATGACTGGTGAGGCAATTAGAATGGGTGCAAATGCTGTGGCTGAGTCAAATGACGGACATATACTTTAGTCTACAGAGCCAATCCTCCATATACATACTTAAGACGTTAGTCTACCAACGATTTGAGTCTACTTCTACTTGCTCACAGCTTCCGTTCATGAAATTATCATTTATTATGTCTTTCGACGATTACTCGTTATTGAAGCCTCGAGGCGCAGCACGAGGAATCTCTTTATGTCGCTTTCACGGGCTTATATCCCAGATTGCTGAGTTGAAATAGGGGACAACTCAGCGTTTATACTAGTTTTAAATCTTGACTTCCCCATCAGACGATGGTGCAGCACTTGCTGTGGCTCTTTGACTTCTTGGATGCCGTTGACTGTCTATTTCTCTTGAGAACGGACTCACTGTCGATGCCGGCGCCGTTGACTGCGGCGCCCTTGTCACCCTCTAACGCCTGCTGTTTCTGCAACTCCTTTTGCTGTTTCTTCTCTGCGCTAATCTGGGCCTCCTTAAGCATGATCTGTCTCACAACGTCTATGAATGCCTCGTCAACATTGGTTTTATACATTGCAGACGTTTCGTAGAAGGGAACCAGTCCCCACTGTTGGGAGACCTTGATACCGTCATCGATGGACAAGACCCTGTCATCATCCAAGTCGCTCTTGTTACCAATGAGCACCATTGGTACGTTCTCCAGGTCCTTAATCCGGAGAACCTGCTCTCTCAAAGCCAACAACTCTGTCAAAGAGTTCTCGTCAGTCACGGAGTATACCAATAAGAAGCCCTTGCCCGACTTGATGTACAATTCACGCATGGCAGTAAACTGGGCCACACCAGCAGTGTCCAAAATTTCTAGATCACAGGCTCTGCCGTCCACTTCAATCAGTTTTCTGTAGGAGTCTTCGATTGTGGGATCATAACTCTCGACATACACGCCTTGTACAAATTGGACAGTGACGGACGACTTACCGACACCACCAGCACCTAAGACGACGATCTTGTAATCTGCTGTTAGTAATGATTATAATTTCACCCTGTGTTGTCTGAAACCATACCTCTCATAGCGTTAGTTTGATGTTTGTCGTGAACTAAATTCGCGTGTTTTCGAGCGCTCGGGCACAACACCTTAACGACAAAGCACCTCGCCTGTATTGAGCCAGGATCGGGAATTGTGGCTAAAAGAGAATAATAGCTCGATTTTTTATCTGCGAAACAATGATTTTTGGCTTAAAATTTGCCGTTTATTTTTTTTATTGTTATTCGCTACTCACCTCAGATCTCGATCTCAAACGGCTGGGCGCCTATTTGGTTCCTGCTGCGTGGTGCCTGAGGCTCAGGTGTATAGGGCAGGAACATGGACGGATGAGATTTTAGCAATTCTTGGATACTCTGACGACACTACTCGGGAACGTCCGGATATAAATATACGCGGCGGCCGGATTCCATATTGAAAGGCATGTTGAACTAGATATTTGTGTTTTTACTCGATTTCGACGTCGGGAATGGGGCCCACAGGAGTGATTCCGTGTGGGTTGATGGCCTTATGCGACTTGGTGTAATGCTTCTTGATGTGTTCGAAGTTGGTCCAATCCTTGAAGGCTGGGATCTTCCAATATAGCAAACGCAACCAGTCGTTGATGTATGGGTACTGGTACCTGATCATGCCAATGTTGCACTTGAAGTGCTGGACGTAAACAGGGTCGAAACGCACAATGGTGGTAAACAAACGAACATCCGCTTCCGTAAGGGTTGTTCCCGTCAAAAACTTGTCATTGTGGTTCTTGTCTTGGTTGGTCTTGAAAATCTGCTCCACCTTGTCCAAGTGAGCAAACACTTTCTTCACCTCCTTCTCGTACACTTCCTGAGAGGTGGCAAAACCCGTCTTGTAGACACCATTGTTGATGTTGTCATACACCAAGTCGTTGATCTCGTCGATCCTGGAACGCAAGTTCTCTGGGTACAAGTCGACCTGGGCATAGTCGGTTGGCAACAAATCGTTAAATTCGGAATTGAGCATACGGATGATATCAGCACTTTCGTTGCTGACAATTGTCTCTTTCTGCTTGTCCCACAAGACGGGAACAGTGAATCTGCCGTTGTATTCCGGGTTAGCCTTGAAGTACAACTCCTTCAATCTCTCAAAACCGTAGTTTGGCTCAGCAGTACCCACAGAGATGTCACCGTTCTTGAGACCCAGCAATTCCTCCTTTGTGGGGAATCTCCATCCGTTTTCGTCCATGTGCCAGTGGACAACCGAAACGGGCAATGCCTGAACGAGACCCTTCAAGGCTCTGGTGATAAGCACCCTGTGGGCCCATGGACACGCAAAAGAGACGTAAAGGTGGTATCTGTTCAAGTCGGGAGGAAATTCAGCATTGGGTTCCCTGGAGATGGCATTACGGAACTGGGAGGGCAACCTGCGATAAGCACCGTCCTTATCGGCGAATTTGAGGATTTCGATTTTGTTCTTCTGCGTGTTAGCAAAACCACGAATGAAACGCAAAAAGCTCATATTTGTGTAAGACTTACTTCTGACATGGGAAAAAGAGAATTATTCTGTCGACCCCAGACAGGCCCCGGGTGGGTTTATAGGGCTACCGGTGCAGGAGCCGCTCTGGTTGCTAATGCATTACTACCCCATGACTAACGTTGAGAACCCTTTCACAGAAGCAAATTCTCATGCGTAAGCCGGTTTAGTAATACCTTGAAAATGAGAGGATTGCGATTGATTTTGGAATGAAATCACGAAACATTGTTTTATCAGCATGAACCCGATTTTGTTCATTCGCACAGACTCACACGAGGTATCTTAGCCGCCCTAAAGAGCAAACGGTAGATAACAACTATCAAATAAACTTTGGGGTGCATACTTCTTCAAGCAAGGGTTTGGATTTTGATCTAGAAGTCTGTCACACTAAAGTTCACTACAGACTGGGACTGGGCAGATAATGGGAGCCAACTGGGCACACTGGTGAGAGCCAAGCACCAAAAAGACATTTGCCCTAGTTAGCTCAGTGTAGGGCTGGTTCTACAACTGGATCTTCTCCATCCTGAAGCACTGCAAAACCTGACGCCACGGTTGCTGGGAAAAACGCAAAAGCTGGGTGTGGGGCTGCCGAGAGGCTTGGAACTAAGCTCTGAAAAAAACCGTCCCTGTTGGTGTCGACAGAGGCTCGGATAAATCAGTATCCCACAAACCACCCGCTGAAATCCAAACTGTACCCTCTAAACTTCTCTCCCTTCAGCCACAAGGCCCCACCCACTCTCCGAAAATTAGTCGCTTCTTGCGCCTTTTTGACAAGACACAAGTCGAAGAACCGTGTAACAATGTCCAAGGAATTATCCTCGCCCCGAACCCCGAACCTTAGTACGGGCTGTCAACGACTTCGTTTCTGCAACCACAGATTTCTTCTGCCAACTAAAAACATTTCGGGAAAGCCAGACGCCCATAACCACCGTGTCTCGAGCCTCCCCGCTGACATCACCCTTCCGTAGCCAATGCAACCTCGTGATGAGCTGGGTTATGATTAGGCTTGGCAACGAGAACTAACCATCAGACCAGCGTCCGAGTGTGGCACGGCGCTGGTGTGTTTACCTGGCGTTTTCGGGCGTTCTTCAAAAAGAAATCAGCAGCGGGATCCACGATTCACGGCTCTTGCCTGAAAAGGTGTGGGCCTATCCACCCTCTCCTCAATGTCACACAACATCCGGTCATCACCCGGGCAGAAAACGGCTTCCGCGGGGGCTACAGTTGAAGAGGAAGAGAATAATTTTTTTCTTTAAAAAAAAGAATGCTACTTTCTCCCAGTTTGTTCTCTCACACTTCTACTCCTCAGGGCTCGCGAGCCCTAGGCATTTGCAGCCACAAGCGCCGGTGCGGAACCTGGCTTCTGCCGCAGGCGTTGTCCAACCGTTGGGTCGGAGGGTCGTGGCGTTTATGCTCCGCAACAGCACGCACAGCGGCTCTGCAGAGGGCGATCAAACTTTTGGAAATCCTAGATCCGTAGGGCATTTTACGAAATTATACGAGAAGCCCCATTTCCGAAAATTTCACCCCCAGAAACCTGCCAGCCCTTACCCCATTCTCAAAACACTGGGGGCCTGAGGCCTGGGGCTCGAGCCGCGACGTTTTGGTGGAAAATCTTCTCGCCCGCGGCTGGGTGCAGGAATTCGCTCCCAAAAAGCCGACACATACGCAGAACCTCACATCAAGCGGCTCATCGCTTTTCTCCATCTCCTAGATCCACAACACCTTCTTCCGCGCGTCCTTCGTTAACACCCCCAGTATATGTCCTCGCCTAATGACCGAAGAGAAGACGTCAAGTCCTCCTACGCTCTGCCCCTACCGTACTCCCAAAAGGCCGTAGGCCTCCATCCTCCCGCGGGCCAAATGTCCTCGGCCTCCTACTACAACACCCAACCCTATTATGGCCAGTCCTTGAACAACGTCTACCTGTTGGGCAACAAATACTCCATGCCCAACTACCACTCGTCCCAGGACCCTTTCACCGCCTACCAATACTCCCAGGCCCAGCCCATCTCCTTGCAGCAGCCGCTTCTGCAGCCTTTACTGCTGCAACAGCATTTACAACAACCGTTGCAACAACAGCCTTTGCTGCAACAACCGTTGCTGCTGCAGCCTTTGCAACAGCCCGTGGCTCTGCTGCAACACGCTTTGCAGCAAACCATTCCTCTGCTGCTCCTGATCCCCGTCCAACAGTACCAGCAGGTCCAGCAAGTTCAGCAGGTCCAACAGGTGCCTCAGCAGCCGGTGCAACAGGTGCAGCAGCTCTCCCAGTACCAGTACCAACAGCCTCAGGCGTCGTACCAACAGCTACCTTCGCAGATCGCCCAACCTTTGCAGACAACAGCCCCGCTTTCTAGATCCAGCTCTGCTGTTCCACCACCCCTGGGCACGCCGGCCACTACAGCTTCCAATGGCCATGCGGAGGTGCCCCAACAGGATGATTCCTTTGTGTACTTCAAAGATCCAGTCTACCGCAGCAAGTCTCAGCTGAAGCCCAAGTACAACCCCAAATCCTTGACGCCTTCCAAACTGACCAAGGGCCCCAGAAAGGGCAAGAAGGATGGTGACGCTAGAGATGCGTCCAAGCCATATGTCTGTACCTACCAGGATTGCGAGTGGTCTTTTGCTAGACAATCGGATTTGCGCAGACATGAAAAATCTCACCTGGAACCCATGTTCCACTGCCCTTACTGGCGTACCGACCCAACCTGCCACAGAAACGGTGGCTCCTTCAACAGATTAGACGTTTTGAAGAGACATTTGCGTCTTGTCCATTACGTCAAAGACAAGGAGCACATGTACCCTGGCTCCGACCCAGGCTGGTGTCGCAGCTGCCAAAAAATGTTCCAGACCTCGAAGCATTTCGTGGAACATTGTTTAGACTGTGCTGGTCTGATTTCTGTTGCTGACTGGAGACTTGATAAATCCGGAAAGCTGGAAGAAAACCTCGAAAAGAACGACGCCGAAAAGAACGGCGACACAAAGCATTAACGTTACGACGGCCTCTCATTATACATAACTGAACATACAACATTGAACATAGTATACAAATTAAGTCATTACACCGTATTACTCCTCTCCTACTCCTCTCCTGTTTCCTGCTCCTCAGGCTGGGCCTGGTTGTCGAAAAAGTCCATGATCGCACAGTTAGGGTGGATAATGTAAACCGTCCGGCTTCCCTGCTGCTCCCTCTCGTATTCATCCTCGGGAAGAGCATCTTCGTTAAGATTCTGCGTGACACTCATCAAAATTCTGTCCTTATCCAACTTCTTCAACACCTTATAAGCCAAAGCTCTTTCAGCATGGAACTCTTGCTCAGTATTGATCTCGTCTTCCTTTTGATGCAAGTACCAGTCGACAATCTCATCTCTGGTCAAACCGTTGCCTCCAGCAGTATCATCATCCGATACCTTCTTCACTATTAGGTTCATCATGGCAACGTATCTGTCGTAGGAAATACTGGAACGAGGAGCATCTCTTGCCCTACGTGTAACCGAAGTTTCAAGTCCTTCACGAATTTCCTCCACTTCAGGGTTGGCGTCGTCATCTTCGATGTCCATGGTTTCTCCATCGGCATCATCGTCGTCAATCTGGATGTCATCCATCTCGACTCTGATGATAGACGAACGCAACAAGTCGTAGGCTTCAGAAACGAATGTGGGTGTAATTTCTTCAGTACAGTTGGCACGGGCGATGGCTTCAGACAATCTTACCATCGATTCCAACTGTCTGACTGTAATTCTGTATGAGGACCTTCCGAGACCCTGGGCATCGTCGCTTCTCAACTCCTTGTACTTAGCAACCAAGAAGTCTCTAGCTTCCTTGGTCATGCGAGGTTTGAAAGTTTTGGCGTATTTGATGTATCTTGTCAACTGCTCAGCAGAGAACGGTGGGTCGATAGCATCGTCCTTCAACATGTGTAAGTCGACTATGTGCGATGCCAATTGGGTGTCCACTCTTTCGTTACAGTCATCCAAGACAACGAAAAACATGTCGAATCTGGACATAATAGGCGCAGTCATGTTCAAGTTAGCACGCAAGCCCAACTTCCTGTTGTAACGGCCACCAATTGGGTTAGCAGCAGCCAAGATGGAAGTACGAGCATTCAAGGTAGCGTGGATACCAGCCTTTGCGATGGAAATGGTCTGCTGTTCCATAGCCTCGTGAATAGCAACTTGGTCAACAAGGTCCATCTTGTCGAACTCGTCGATAGCACAAATTCCGTTGTCTGCCAACATCAAGGCACCTGCCTCAATGGTGTATTCACCACTCTCTTCATCTTTAACAACGGCAGCAGTCAAACCGGCGGCGGAAGAAGCCTTACCAGATGTGTAGACTGCTCGTGGAGAGAAACCACAGACGTACTTCAAGAACTGAGATTTCGAAGTCGATGGGTCACCCACGACACAGATGTTGATATCACCTCTCAAGTTGATACCATCGACGGTTTTCTTGTGAACACCTCCAAGCATTTGCAACAAGATGCCCTTTTTGATAGTTTCGTGACCAAAGACAGCTGGGGCGACAGAACGAACAAGCTTGTCGTAGACATGCTCATCTTTGACCATATCCTTAAGCTGAGTGACCTCGGAGTCAGACAAAGAGTTCAAGAATACTTCCTGGTCGTTAGGGCCCTGCTCCTCTTCAACATTGCTTCCATTGTCAGAAGGCTTGTTAACAAGTGAGCTGACGTGACAGGCGTAGAAGGCAAGCTTATAGGTAAGGTCTCTAACACCAAGAGATCTCAAACCGGAAACGCCTGAGTTGAAATCTGAGTTTGTGGCTGTACTTTCTCTGATGGACTGAGCCTTGATGCCAGGCAAGCCCAACTGAGAGACGTCTGGAATGACAATTTCTGTACCAGTGAACTTACACTTGTCGCCGGGCTTTGCTTTCTCGACGGCCTCACCACGCAAGATCACGTCCAATGTTCTGGGCATAGAGCCTGTAGGAATCTCATTGGAGTTTTCTTGAATACGACACTT